CACTGGAGGCGGGGGATGGGACATTTCTGTACACAAGATATATTCATCCTCCAATCCCTTGTACATAAAGGAGCTCTCAAAACTTCACTGGAGCACTTTCATCCGAGCCAACATAAAAATAAAAGGATCACATAGAAAGAATGCATAAGACAGAAAATTTCACAGTAATTGGATTTTTTCCCTATGCCTGACTTGCATTTAAAACATGAAGAGGAAAGAAAACAAGATCACTGTCATATCAAAGAGAACATCTTTAAGGAGTCTTTCTGCTGCGTCAGTGGATGCAATTAATAATCATGTTGCTTTTTTGTATTAAAACTTCATTAAACAATGCACTCCTTTCTCTGGTGGGCTGACTCACTGGACTGACCATGGTAACAGTTCATCAAGAGATACATCTGATTTTGAAGGGCCTTGCTCCTTAATGATGAAACATTCCTTTGCCTTCAGCAAAAGCATCTGCATACGAGTCTTTTATCAACTCTGGAGATAAGTTGATCTGCGGGAGGCAGTGGAGGACAGGAGTGCCTGGCGTGCTCTAGTCCATGGGGTCACAAAGAGTCGGGCACAGCTAAACGACTAAACAACAACATTTCATCCTTGGGAGACACTTTGAAAACTACTGTTGAGATGTGGGGTTTAGAATTATCAATGCATTCATTATTTTTTAACCCTACCAGTGAAACTGGCTGAACTGACACAAATTAATCAACACCTTTGTTTTCTGTGTTGTTCTGATGCTTCACCATAGCTATGGCTAGGCAATTATCATTTGCACTTCAGACAGGGGCTTGAACTCTCTTCCAAACCATGATGCCTGCACAGGATCATCCTTTCTATGCAGCCAAAAGAAATGTAACACGGTCCTTTGCAAGACTGGGTGAATATTTTCTCCTTCTTTACCTAACAGCTTGAGGTTAGCAAGGGCAGGGTTAACAAACTGAAATTTGAAATGTCAAATTTGGCATCATCCTTAGGCTTTTATCATCCTTTGGTGACTCTGCAAAAGCCCATAAAACAGTCCAGTTCGAAAAGAGACTCCTCCGCTTTGCAGTTAAGGATGTGTCATACAACTCACATAGCATGTTAGTATCCTAGCAGGCAGAATAATTCTCAATTCCATCTTCAGAATGTGCCAGCAAAATAATTCATGTGCAGCTGCACAACGTAGCCATGCATGGTGCATGATCATAAATATATATATATCTGTAGCACCATCCCTGTTTATTTAGAAGACGAATTCATGCTTCACTGGGTGCATTTTATTTTAGTTTGCTTATTGTTATTATCACCATTATCATTACTATTGTTGTTTCACTGGAGCCTCTAATAGCTTTCTGTTGCCAGCACTCCTGCTGCTCCACCTGTCCTTTCTCCTTCTCCTTCTTAATTTTATGCTTGTAGGTCACACGCCGTTACTCTGAGTAATACTTGGAATAGTCCAAATTTGCCACTATCTGAGAATATAAATCCCAATACAAGGGAAGCACACACCAGCCATTAGTGTTAATGGCATCTATCCACTTACACATTACTGTTCAGATGTGGAAGTCAATTTCATAAAAATGCAGTTAAATTTTAGCTAATATCCATCCATGTTATTTACAGGAAGCTTCCCTTTTTGGAAAGAGTGTAAGGTTTGCAACAGAGCAGCTGGAAGGTAGAGTCCTGTGCCAGGTTTTTTATATATATAAAAATAGAAAAACAGAATTTGAGAGCGGCACCAAGCCGATCTTAAACATCCTAGGAGAACAGTAACATTCCAAATATGTTCCAATCAATTCCAATCAACTTTTCAATTAATTATTAATACATCTGAAAATTAACTTTTGCTGTTGCTCAGTACTACAGATGGAAAAGGATATAACACCCTAAATATTTATTTGAATTAATTTGTTCATACTTGGCGAGTTATGGCTCCCTTTATGCTAATGTCTTTTTTTCCACATAGGTTGTTATGTTATAAATACAAAGAATTAGGCTCTCTTCATTTTCTCTGTGCTCAGTGTGCAATTACGGTATAATTACTCTGCTGTTTCAAGACTTTTTAATTTGAATTGGTGAATGGCTGCTGTGAGCCAAGCGTAATTGCATGTGAACTCGCCACTTCTATATTAAAACAACAATGGATAATTAAATCTAAAAGAATTTTACACCTCAGATGAAGTTCGATGAGCGCATGTTCGGCTCGCGTGGCATCACTTACCACAGGAATAACTCAGAAGGTCCTCTGAAGGATAAAATCTGCCTATTAACCACTGCATTACAAAACTGTGGCGACTTCTAAAGTGGTCCAAACTGGCAGACAGGGTGGAAATGACGGAAATAGACCTGGGCATCAGAATTGGGTTGTTGTTGAGCACAGGGAGGATGTGGGGAAGAGAGATTTTAAAGTATAGCATGTGTGCAATGAGCATGGGAGGAAGGACCTAAACTCTTTACCATCTCCAATTTCCATTACAAAATTGCACTTCACCAATAATTTTCCTCCTGTGAGTCTCTGTGACATGAAGCAATCGCCCACAGAGGAACTAACTTTGGAGAGGTCAGTGTAGAGGGAAAGATTCAGCTTGGCTGTTTTTGCTTACCAGTACTGTACTTGGACACACACACACACACACACACACACACACACAGCCCTAATCTGCTTTCTATATATTTGGTAGGGACATGTTGTTATCATGGCTAGGTACATATTGAATAGCACATACTATTGGGTGGCACTGTGGGTTAAACCACTGAGCCTCGGACTTGCCGATCAGAAGGTCGGTGGTTCGAATCCCTGTGATGGGGTGAGCTCCTGTTGCTCGGTCCCTGCTCCTGCCAACCTAGCAGTTCGAAAGCATGTCAAAGTGCAAGTGGATAAATAGGTGCCGCTCCAGAGGGAAGGTAAACGGCGTTTCCGTGCGCTGCTCTGGTTCGCCAGAAGTGGCTTAGTCATGCTGGCCACATGAACCGGAAGCTGTATGCTGGCTCCCTCGGCCAATAAAGCAAGATGAGCGCCGCAACCCTAGAGTCGGCCACGACTGGACCTAATGGTCAGGGGTCCCTTTACCTTTACTTTACTATTGAATTTATATACTGCTCTATACCCGGAGGTCTCAGGGCAGTTCACAGAATAAAATCAAAATATATAACCACAAAATACATAATCAAAATAAAAACAACAACCCAATAACCCCCCCAAAAAAACCACATTTTAAAAGGGCATAGGACCCTCACAACATTTAAAGTAAGACAATTAACAAACCTGGACAAGAGCCACTTGTTGGAAAGACCATGATCTCAGGAATGTTTGCAGCAATATTTACTGCCAACCGAATTGCCCAGGTGCCTTTCTGATACAAAGGCAAATAGGAACATAACAAGCTGTACCACTAGGTAAAATCCTCAACACAGGATTTTGCTGGGGTTGGGAGGTATTTATAATGTAGCAGCAAATGAGAGGGCCTTTCTCATTTCTTCATTGGTGTCTTCTGCTCAGAAACAGAAAGGGGGTGAATGAAGAAGAATCCCTTCTGATGTTAGAAGAATGGCCAATATGTGTCCCTCTAGCTTTTACTGAACTACAACCCCACCCATCTGCCAAAGTTGCCCTATAGGGTGATGAAAATCTAGCCTGCTGTTCCAGAAAGGTTTCCCAGACGTTCAGCAGAGGGATGTATGAAGGAGCTTCTGTCAAGGACCATTATTTGGACCTGAGCTTTCCTACTAGTTTATAAATGAGTGTTGAAGTGGCCACGTTTACTGATGACACCAAACTGTTCAGGGCGGTAAGAAAGAGGGATTGCCAAGTACTCCAAAATGTTTTCTTCAAATCATTCCTAAGACCGAGTTAAGGTGGAATGGGTGATGCTGAGATGTGTTGCATGTGTGTGCACATGTCATTATTCCAAAGCACAGGTGGAGCATGGTACAGAAAGACCAAATGCTGCCTTATATCAAGTCGGGCTATTCCTCCATTTAGCTCTGTTTCAACTATGCTGACCGGAAGCAAATCTCCAGGGTTTCAAACAGGAGTCTGTTCCACCAAGAGATGGCAGGGAATGAACCAGGGAGACTTTGCATGGAGAAGCATGGGCTCTACCACTGAGCAAGAACCCTTTTGCTTTTTAAATCACAGGGTACTACCATACAGAATTTTATTTTGTAACAGTGTGCTGGATCCAGAAATACGGTGTTGGCTCCGTTATGATCACTTGCGCAAGAGCAAGTGGAAGATTTTGCAGAGCACAAATTTGGTCTTGAGACACTGAGCAAGACCATTTCTCTTGAGAACGTGCTATGGCTTGAGCTAGCAGACCTCCTGCAACAGAATCATACGCCGCTTTGTACTAAAAGAAGCGCGCTGCTGGGTTTTAGCTCTGTTTCTAACATAAAGCTGTTGCACTGACTCAGGAAATGCCTTTCAGCTTACAGAAGGACAGCCCTGGATCAAACCCTTTGTATGTATTTTGGTAAAGGCCAAACTTGCAGCTACATGTATCTCAAGCATGTGTGTGCTTCTATGTCATATATAAAGGGGGACTGGTCATATACTTGTCACACAAATGGTGGGGGCAGTGGACACCCCCCACAATCTTTCCAAGACTGTTTTTAAGCAGCCTTCCCCACCCCTGCCACCACAATTGCCCTCTCATAGTAGAGCAGGGAGAAAATTCCTTAAAACCGGGGAGTTTAGCAAGGAAAGGTAATGGAAGGGCATTTCATTCTCCTCCTGCCCCACACCTTTTTGGTAAGAGTAAGCATACTCTTGTGGCCTCCCCTTTATACCATACCCCTATAAGTTTTAAGTTTTGTCAGTTTTTTCTTATTATTTCTTACTCTTTTTCTTCGTCTTTTTCATGTTCTCTTCTATTTTGAATAGTTTTACTTGTTTGTTAATTGTAAGAGTTATATCTGGGGTTTTTTTTTAAAATAACTGTTTATTCATAGAATCGCAGAGTTGGAAGGGACCAAGAGGGTCATCTAGTCCAACCCCCTGCAATACAGGAATCTTTTACCCCACGTGGGGTTCAAACCCACAACCCTGAGATTAAATGTCTCATGCTCTTCCAACTGAGCTATTCCTGTGGTATTCTGGTGAAGAGCAGGAAATAAATCTAATAAATAAATAAAATTAATATTGTGTGTGTCTGTGTGTAATTTTTTGCCATAAATACTTATAGATGTCACATTAGAAGAGATATTCCCTCCTACATGGGAAGGAATGGGGAATGCCTCTCCTGTGTCTATGACACATGTATGCATGGCCTGAAAACAAATAATATCATCAAGTCTCCTGTGTGACTGTTGTATTAGATTACAGTAGACTTCTGCAGCCAGGCAAGTGGAATGGAGGTAGTTTATGATTTCTGCACTTCGTGGAAAGCAGAGTTTGTCTGAAAACACATTTTTGAACAGATGGGAAGGCACTTGTTATAAGGATTTTGGAAACTGTGCTGTATGTTTTCGTCAAATCATCAACAGTATGTGATTTGTGTAAGCAAAGGAGATTGTGGTAACATAGTTCACAGTTGTGCATTCTGAGAAAAAATCAACTTATTGGTTTGGGCATCATTCATCATCTTGTTTTTTATTGTCATTATATTTTCTATCAAGCTTTCCACGTCAAAAAATCAAAATGTGGAACATCCTGGTATGAATACTTCCATGGCTGCAGAAATAAGCTTGAAAACATGATGGAAACAAAGACTGATTGACTGACTGGTGGCATAACATAAAGTTCTTAGTGTGGTTTGCAATAAATAAGAAAACAATTAGAATATACAGAAGATATAAAACCAAATAAATCAAAAGCAATATAAATACACTCAAGTACCTCATACCACCCTTACAAGTTAAAGCACAGATTGAAAAATTGTGAGAATAACAGACTCCATCAGTTATTTAAAAAGCCTAGGTGAACATGAAGTTCTTTATCCAGTGACAGACATTAGTGGCTTAAAAGTCAGAAAACAAGTCCCAAATTATTACATTTCCCCATGAATCTCATTTATAAGGTGTTTCTAGAAGAAGAAGAAGAAGAAGAAGAAGAAGAAGAAGAAGAAGAAGAAGAAGAAGAAGAAGAAGAACAACAACAACAACAACAACAACAACAACAACTTGATTCATTTCCAACATATATTTGGAGTTAACAATCCCAGAATAGGAATATTATAAAATCAGTACAAATGCACTGTGCTTTTTTCTTGTCATCTGCAACATTATCATAAACAATTGGCATTATACGAACTGCAAGTAAAACAAAGCAAATAAACTGCAGTCCTGCAACTCAGAATTTATTTCTGATTTCACCCTAATTGCTAAGTGTTTCATCCTCATGGGTAAAAACATGTAGATGTAGATGTTGCTGCCTATCACTGAGTGCCCTGAACATTTTTACTTTCAGTAGCTTTCCAAGTGGCCCAGCAGCAATTTAATGTCTAAACCATTTATGTCTTGTGATGCTATCAGTTGATGCTTATTAGTTCTTACAGACTAGGGTAGATTCAGATGAGCAGCTGACATCCAATTCGCAAGGCTGAATGGGCAAAGAGTTTCCCACAAATATACTGCCTTGCTGAAAAGAGTCTTATAACAGAAGTTCCAGATAGCTAGGCTATCATGTGATAATTGCAATAATCTACTCAAAAACACCTGTGATCTCACAAATTTGGAGTTGTCCATAACCTACTGTTTAAGCACTATTTATGTCAGCTCTATGCGCCCACTGCTTCTTGTTTTCTCCTTATTGCCACAAACAGTAATAGCCCTGGCCTGGCGTTTCCATCTTCACTGATTCCTGCCTCAATTTCTTCACGTGGGTCAACGCAAGCTTCTCTGTTATTAACTAGGAACAGAGTGGTTCAATGCAACTGACCTAGCTTCCTGGCAGGTTAATCCCTTTAACTTTGAAGGGAAGTCCGTTTAATGTCAAAGAGATACCGTATTTTTCGCTCTATAAGATGCACTTTTCCCCTCCTAAAAAGTAAGGGGAAATGTGTGTGCGTCTTATGGAGCAAATGCAGGCGGGAGGCTCTGCTCAGCGCTCCCTTTAAAGAGCCACGTGGAGCGTGTGTGCGGCTCTTGGGGGCTTTCCCCCCGCTCTTTAAAGGGAGCACGGCTCTTGGAGGAGCCTTCCTCCCGCTGCCCTCAAGAGGCTCCGAGCGGCTATTCCATACGCCAGGACAGCAAGAGGGATCACTGCGCAGCGATCCCTCTTGCTGTCCTGGCTTCTGGCTTAGCCATGCGAAGCCTCTTGAGGGCAGGGGGAGCCTTCATCCCACTGCCCTGAAGAGGCTTCACGCGACTATCCCAGAAGCCAGATCCCTCTTACTGTTCTGTCTTCTGGGATTCAGAATATTTTTTTTCTTGTTTTCCTCCTCCAAAAACTTGGTGCATCTTATGGTCTGGTGCGTCTTATAGAGCGGAAAATACGGTAAGTAAAACTTGATTTTGAAAGGATTGTCTTTTTAACGTTGTTGTTAACTACTGAATTTTCCTCTTGCCCATTCAAATTATTTAAAAACTGTAAACCAATAGCATGAGCCAATTAAAGCTCTTAAACAGCAGAGACCCCCCAAAAAGGTATTTTAATCTATGAATATTATTGATAACAGGTGGCAAAAGCTGTAAGATAACCATCTCTTTCCTAAGGATCCTTAACATGGAGTTTGCCTTCATCACAGCAGTCAAGCACTGGGTTGATGTTTTCATCTACTGCAACGGAAAGATCCCTTTCTAGTCTGTCACAGATGCCATCTGCATGAATGTAGTGTTGGCCTATTTGCTTTCTAATTTGCATCACGTTATACTTGCCGAAACTTAATTGCACTTGCCATTTTAATGTTCCTTACTCAGCCTGGAGAGAATCTTTTGGAGCTCGTTGCTATCCCTTTTTGCTTTAACAATCCTAAATTATTCGGTGTTATCAGCAAACATGGCACCTTACTGCTCACCTCAACTCTTGTTATGAACAAGTTAAAGGGTTGCAACCAAAGGGAAGATGTTTTTTGGCTCAGTGTTTAGTACTGACTGGGACACACAAAGTTCCTTATGAGACATAAGTGCATTATAAGCTAAAAACTGCAGGTAGAGCTTCATAACAATGTACATTGCAATGTCAGTTGTTGGGTGCCGTTTGCTATTACATGCTTTTCTTATTTTGCTTTTATGTCTTCCTCCTCTTTCGGATTGACCCAAAGTTGGCTGTGCTCCTTGCTGTTTGTCCTAGATTTAGAACCACTTAAACCCAGAATGTCATAAATATACAAGAAGTAAAAGTGGGAAGATATGTAAATCCAGTAAATATATATGCACATTCTATTGACCCGACTGTCACATATCCAATAAATTTGAAATTTGAAAACACCTGAACAAATAACAGATGAGCATGGATATAAATCTGACGAAAGACAAACAGAATTCTAAACTTGTAGGTAAAGTTGCAAGTAAGGAAGACATGGGCTATTGTTTGGTAACTGTTGTTATTTTTATCTGTAAGCCGCCTTGAGTCCCAGTCAGGGAAAATGGCCAGGTATTAAAAAATTAATAAATAATAACAACAACTAGGGCAATCCTACTGGCTGCCAATTTGATACAAAGCCAAATTTAAGGTGCACATGCTTACATATTAAACTCTGTGCAACTCTGCAAGTCTGGATATCAAAAGGGACACCTGCTCCCAAATATAACTGACTGTCTGCTAAGATAATTAGAGGGGATTCTCCTGGTGGGGCCACCATGAACTGAGACATAGTGTGTAGCAACCTGAGAGAAGTCCTTTACTATAGAGCTCTATGGAACTCCTCTCTGAAACAAGGCTGGCACAGATTATGATGAGCTTTCAATACCTGTTTGTGAAAGCCTTTGTTGACTGCTAAACACCGTTTCGGAATATGCTATATTGCTGGCTACAGTGGATGGAATTTTATGTTGGTCTAATGATTTAATATGTACAGTGGTACCTTGGTTCTCAAACGTAATCCGTTCCGGAACATTTGAACGTTTGAAAACCAAGGTGCAGCTTCCCATTGGTTGCAAGAGCTTCTTGCACTCAGCGGAAGCCGTGTCACACATTCGGTTTCCGAAAAATGTTCAAAAACGGAAGCATTTACTTCTGGGTTTTCAGCCTTCGAGAACCGAAACGTACAACAATGGGGGCATTCAGGAACCAAGGTACCACTGTTAAAGCCTAAACCTGAAAAATAATCAAGTTACAAAAGTTACATTTCTTATTTCAATCTATCACATATCACTGTAATTGCAGCATTTACCATAATACACTTTTAAAAAACCATGTTTTTGCTTTGGCTTTTATCCTTATAGGCCAGGATAATCCAGGGAGATTAAGAACATCATGCTTTCAATATTATTGGGATTTAAATATTGGAATATGTTGTGCTATGTTTTTTGTACATTTAGGATGGTAATCCTGTGTTTAGGTGCCTGCAATACAGGTTTATTACAGAACACTGATGAAAACAAGGCTTCACTAGGGGATAACTTAAAGCTCTGCAAAAGCCACACTTGTCTGACCAGACACATGAGGACACAAATACACAAAGGATGTGGCTACTGTAGTCAATAACGAATCTACGATGCTATTTTTAAACTTATTGTCCGTACAAACAGCCCCATAATACTTTGCAAAAAAAAAAATGTTTAATTTTTCTAATGGTAATGTTGTGATTAAATGGTGCTCTGTGAGTTTGAGAAACAATACAATACATTAAATACCGCTACAACTATGAAAACCTGTATTTGTACACACCTGCTGCTCTGTGAGTAACAAAGCAAGGCTGGAACATCTTTCGGGAGAGGTTTTGACTCTTTACTCCTCAACGAACCTTCTGGCCCTTCCTGAGAATCCGACCAATAGTAGGATTCATGACAACTATTGCCCCAAACGTGGAGCCAGAATATTGTGTGTGTGTGTGTATGTGGAATAAACAAAAATTGTCACCAGGCACAGCAGAAATCTCCTTGTTCTTGAAGGGTTTTACACGTTTGCCTAAGAAACAAACACATGTCAGGCACTAGAATGAGTTGTATGAGACAAAAACTGGGATTAGTGGCAGAGCATTTTGCTTTTA